GGAGCTGGAGGGCCAGGGATGGGATTGCAATGTGACAAGGTCCTGTGGAGGCTACCTCTCACTCTCCCTCTTCTGTGTCTACACATATGTTCTCTATCAGGAGTAAAATAAATAAACTCAAAAAATTCCTGTGTGTTAAGAGAAGCAAGTACAGAGTAAGATAGAAATACAGAAGGAGGGAGAAACCTTAACTTACAGAAACACACACTCACACGGGTAACAGCAGTCTGTGCTTGTGCAAAATTGGTCTACAGGATGAAGACAAATGAGTGTAAATTTTACGAAATCCTCAACAAGTGTAACCAAAACCCAGAGAAGCAGGTCATAGTGAAGTCATGTGAAACACATTCTGATTACATCTTAAATCAGAAGTTATCTTAATTCAGGTCACTAAAAAAGAATGGCGTAAACAAAACGAGGTGTTCTGCTCTGTTGCATGTAGACCGAGTCACCTGGGGCAAGTCACTCATTCATTTACTCAGCATAATTTTCGTAGCAATCACACTTGGCAGTCACAATGTCACTGAGCATCAGTTTCTATAAAACAGGCCCAGAAGAACCCACTCTGTTGTGAGGGCAAATTAGATAACATATCTGGCTTGTAAAGTTGAATTCCAATACATTGTAAAGCAACTGTAGATACCAGATACGGTGTAGTAGGAAGGTGGGGACTGGCAGAGGATGAGAGGGAGGGAATCAAGGGGGGGGGGGAAGAAGCAACATATATAAGAGAGAAGAAATAAAAAATGATTTGTTGATGATGACATGTATGGTAATATCCTTGATTGAGCCAATATACAGTGTATTCTGGATGGGAAAACTCATTTTACATACTGAAATGTTATACAGTAGTGAATGTAAATAAATACATTTTTTTAAAAATACAATTCTGAGTGATCATTCTCTAAATCTGTAAATTTCATCAGCTTCTTAACTCCCTGTGCATGTCCATATCTAATTAAAGACAGTAAGTTGATGTGTGTGTCTCTTTTTTAACACCATCATGCATTTTTGCATTTTTTCCACAGATACTAGTGTACATTTACTACATGCTAGAGGATGGACAAAGTATTATAAGGGACACAAAGACTCCCTTGTCCAAGGACTATCTTAAAAAGGCTGAATTTTAAAGAAAGTGCTTATGATTGTCTTTTTTTTTTTTAAAATAATTTGAATAAGTTCTGTGGCAATGAGAAGACTGAGTCTTCTGAGTAACCCTGATAACACACACCCAACCCAGATTTAGAAAGCCATATGGGGCTGGGACCAGCAGTTGGCATAATGGCTATGTTGCTGGGCTCCCATGTAGTCAACCGCGGTTTGAGTCCTGGACCCAGTGGCTCAAGCTCACACCAAGTGTGCATGTGTGTGTACCCAAGATCCCAAGAGGAGAATGGAGGAGAAGGGATTATAGCATGGCCATCCTCCTGGCATAGGGGGGAGTGATTTTTCGCTTTCTGACTCTCTGTCTCTCTTTGTCTTTCTGGCGAGCACAGATGCCCTGTAACAAAAACCTCCCCACCCCACCCCCAAAAAAAGAAAGAAAGCCATATGGAGCCATCCAATGGTGTGGTGGTTAAGGCAGCTGGGTCCTTAACCATGCATCATGACTAATTGCATGGTTCAAGTCCTGGACATGGGGGCTTCAGAAATACAACAGGTGTGTGTGCATGTGTACCCAAATTCTCAAAAGGAGGGAGAAATGGAGGAGAAACAATGGAGGTATGACCATTGCCCAAGGGAGGTGCTTTCTCACTTTCTCTCATTCTTTCTCCCCCACTCCCCTCCCACACCTCCCCCTGCCTGGGCAAGCACATCCACTCTCTAGCAAGTTTTAAAAATAAAATATAAAGTTCGCATTTACTTCATCTAAACAATTCAGCCAAAAGTGCATGGTCTTTGCCTGTCAACTTCTCAAGGGCCTTCCCATCCACAGCTAATATGTTCCTAGTGTTTTGTCCATGTGGCAGATTATGCATGGCCCACGGACAGACCCCCACAGACAAGCCGTCTGCCCTGAAGAATTCTGGAGCCTGTCCTCAAAACACTCATTCTCTTCCTTGTTCCCAACTTCACTGTCTTGTCGATAACACTTCCTGGCTCTTTTCTACTGTTTTCTCATCCTTGGTTTTCTGGCTGGAAACTTCAACTCATCCCCTTTTTAACAGCAAATTGTTGCAAGGGTGCCCGATGGATGGTTCGGATCTAAGTGGACAACAAGTGGGACTGAGTTCTGGCTGAGGTTCTGGAGACACTGACCCGCCATCGTGAAGGCCAGAGGCCAGAAGCAAGACCATGGTGCCACTGCCCCTGTGGCCGTCTCACTCCTCTTCTCCTCTTTCTTTCCCTTCTGTTTGTAATAATTTGGCAGCTTTGCATTCCTGAAGGTAATTTCTAACATCCCTCAAAACTCAGAATCTAGCACGGTTCTGGGAAACGCTCACAGAATGTTTGAAGCGGATTTTGCCCTGTTGCAGCTGCCCACCCACCACGGGCCTTCCTGGGTTCTGTGCTGATAAGCCATGCAGCCTGTCACTAAGGGGCGGGCGGAAACCACGCGTTTCTGATGGAGCAGGCCCAGCAGCTTTGGTCTTAACCAGCACCACTCTTGAAACGACAAAGAACAGTTGCAAATGAGTGAATAGACCATATCCGATTCCAAGGGACTTCCCCTTTCACTGTTCCTCAGACTATAAAAATGTAGATGGTCTCTGGTGAGCCATGCTACTTGGCAATTTTAGCCACATTGTTAAATGTCTCAATGTCTTGGGGTCTTCATCTCTAAGGGGACAGTGAGTAGCCACTAGCCCAGGGTCCTCGTAGATCTGGATTTTTTTTATTGTATTTCTGCCAAGGATCACGAAACACTGGCTGATTGAATAGGGTGAGCTAAAAAGCAAAGATACAGTTTACTTTACTTTTAGGAAAACATTAAAAATGTATTTTCAGTACAATGCCATCCACGGTGGATGTGGGAGGAATTCTAAAAGGGAATGTGGTCCTGCTTTGTCACTGAGGAACTGGGCTTCCTTCTATGGTGAGACCAGGAAATTGTCTTGCTTTTCACCAAGAAACCTGGACTAGAGTAAAAGCAGTTCTTTAGCAATTATGCCATTGTTTCATAAGCAAAATGAACCGTGCCTAATGGAGTGACCTACAACCTTGCTGAGGCTGGACAGACAGGTCTCGCTTCCTCATCTAATGCTGCTTTCCCTCTCTCCTCCCAGTGCACAGGGATCTTCAACACCCCAACTTCACAATGCTTCCTCCCTACTGAGCAAGGCCATTACCGAAGCCACCCCCTGTGAATGAGGGGGCGGTGGCTTCCTCTGCTTCTTCAGGAACTACTGTCTGTCCTTTGGCCGGAGGATATCAGCCACAGAATTTCCACGGCCTCCCCTGCTCTGTGCCATCGCCCTGACACAGACGTACTCAGCACTGCCGTGGCATCACAAGTGTCTCACGGGCAGAGACTCTCCCCCAGGCTCTGAGTTCTCCCGGGGCAGGAGCTGCCTGTGCAGTGAGCCCGCACGCGTGCCACATTTAGGAGCGATGAACACGCGTACTAACTGCTCTGACACCATCTGCTCTTTTCCCGTCCCCAGGCCAAGTGTTACAGACCTCTTGGTTGTTTTGCCTTTGTTTTGTTTTGCTTTATTTTGTTTAGACAGAGTCTCTCTGTGTCACTGTCTTCCTACCTCAGTCTCCTGAGTAGCTGGGATGACAGATACCATGGCATCCAGCTTTTAAGTCAGGCCAGGAATCAAACCTGGACCTTCCATGTGATTTCAGCCTGAAAAGCAACAGCGTCTTACCAGCGCACCACTGTGACTGGGCCTGCATTGCCCTTGGTAATTTCACTGAATTGAACAAGAACCAACTTTGTGCAAAAGCCAGTAGCACATTTCGAAGCTGCCATCACCTCAAACTCACCTCCTCTGATGCCACCAGAAGCCCAGATAAAGGCACTAACCTGAGCGCGTGTCAAGGTGTCTGACAGAGACGTGCAGACCTTGGGAATGCAGCTCGGTGTTGGGACTCTGCCCTGTATCATTTTCTCCCCCGTGTACCACAAGGGCATGCCTGTCACTCCCACAGAGCTGGCCTCCTGTTGAGGGCAAGGACAGTGCCCCCCTCCTTCACCGCCCCCCCCCCCGGCCTTACACTTGCACAGTGGGTGCAGACCACAAATCCTGAGCCTGACAATGCTGCTGGTGTCTAGAGCACCGCTTTCAGAGTTTCATACGTAATAACGCATCACCCTCTGACTTGATAAAAAAGTGTAGTGATCGGGTTTCCCGAGAAACGAAGTAGGGGGGGAGGGGGAAAGAGATTTTAAGGAGTTGGCTGGTATGATTTGGGAGGCTACAAGTCCAAAATCTACAGAGCACTCAGTCCAGCAGGCTGCAGACTCAGGGAAGAACTCAGTGATGACTCGAGTCCAGAAGCAGCCGCGCTATGGAGGGTGATCTGACTTACTCAGAAGCTACTGATTTAAACGTTAATATCACCTTTAAAAAATAGCTTCTCAGGAACAGCCACGATGGTGTCTGACCAAGTACCTGGTGTCATGGTCCATCCAGCCAAGCTGACACATAAAATTAACTATCACAGGAAGGTGCCATCTTCACCCCCATTTTGCAGGAGAGAAAAGAAGGTGAAGACTGTTTAAGTAACTAACCCCAGGTCACATGACGATATGTAGCAGAGCTCAGATTCGAACCCAGACCTTGTGTCCCTGAGCCCTGAGTGAAAAATCACCCCCAGGGGATATGGCCATGCTGCAATCCCTTCTCCTCCATTCTCCTTTTGGGATCTTGGGCATGCATGCAAATACACCTGGCATGAGCTTAAGCCGCTGGGTTTGGGGCTCAAACCATAGTCAAATACATGGGAAACCAGCCATGTAGCCATTACGCCATCTGCTGATCCTCCTTTCTTTTAGTTCATATTTATTAAAATTTATGTATTATTGTTATTACCATTTAATTTGACTGGAGAGAAACATGGAGAGAGAGGAAAAGTGAGAAAGCAAGCCACCAGCTCCAGGACTTGAACCATGATCAGCCATGTGGGAGTTCAGCGCCTCAACCACCGTGCCACCTGCTGGTCCCTCACCCAGCTTTCTTAGCTGTGTAGGCAGCTGGTGCTGTTTTGGAGGTTTGGGGCAAGGGCAGGAACTCTTCAGGGTTCTGAGTCTTCTAACATTGCCCACCTGACGATATAAAAATAAAGGTGGTTCAATTTCAACTGTTCCCCACTCTTCAGCCTCTCAACAAAATATTGAACACCATGCTGTCATACACGGTGAGCACATGTGCCCTATAGCTGAAACCTCTAAAAAAATAAAAATAAAAAAGAAAGAAAGAAAAAAAGGAAGGAAGAAAGAAATTCAGCCTGGTTCAAATCCTGCCTCTGCCACTTACCAGCTAAATGCCCCTGAACAAGGTATATAATCTCTCTAAGTTCCAGTTCCACCTATACAGTTGGGCTAGCCAGCACCCCTACTGAAGACGGCCCACACTGGGACTTAGAGGTTGGTGCATGGTTGCAGTCCAGCTCCTGGCCTGGGGCCACCTGGGTGTGTGTCAGCCATTATTTTGAAGAATGATTAAGGTTCTGTTGTCTATATTTTCTCCCCCAATATTTTTTATAGAAAAAACAGCTAACCAAAGCAAACGCATCATTAAGAGTTTGCACAGACCTTGTGGGTTACAAGAGTCAGAATTAGCCCCAGGTTTGCTCTGAGAACCTTTCTAGTGGGACCCTAGCTCCTCCCCCAGGGGCGTCTTGCTGCCCAGGCCATGCCCCAGAGCGAGGCCTTCACATCTCCACCCTGTGCTGGTCACACCCCTGCAGTAGTGCAGCCCCAGAGTCATGTGGTGGCACCTGCACAGACCTTGTCTGGTCTGATTGCTATGGCCCTCATCCTAGTACAGACAACTGTACCCCAGTTATCTCACCTTTGTTCCAAGAGAAAAACGTAACTGGTGTTCCACAGGGCACTGACTTCACTCAGTCTCCGCAGGACATAAAGTGATTGTTCAGGACTCTGACATCATTGCAAATGCATGAACATTGGCCCAAAGCACAATAAATTTCAGCCATCGAACGTTTCCAGCTTGGGCTTAGGCTGTACTTCTCTGCTTAACAGAAAACAGCCATGGGACAGATGAAAGCAATTTTCTCACATGGCACCTTCATTTTACTTTCCAGGCTCTGACTTAAAGCCTGCATCTCTCACCTTGAGGCTGCCGCAGAACTCAGAGACAGATTGCCATCAGCACGGACCTGGCAGGAAATGATGCGCGTTCCCCAAATTCCTCACGGGACAAAGGAGCCTCCCTCTTGCTGCCCCATTCTGGGCAAACACTGGAAGTGTGGTGCAGCGGTGAGCGCAGAAACGAGACAGGGAAATGTGTCCGCGTTGCTGAGGTTGGACTCCCGCGACATTCTCAAATTCGCGTGGAGCACTGTGAGAGAGCACTGTGAGACGACAGGAAATGCAGCGGCGTGCTGGGTTTAGAGCCGTGGACCGGACAGCTGCCTGAGTGTCAGCATGACTGGGTCTTATTTTTCAGAGAGGCACAGCCCATTGCTTTAACTGCAACTGGGGCCCGTGCTCCGAGAACGGCAGTGTGGGAGCATGCAGGAAGCAGGGCCGCACCACATCTGGGAGGGCGATCAGGACTGCCCAAGGAAGCAAGCTCGTGGTCAAGCTCTGAAGCATGAGTGCGAGTGAGCTTGGTTAAAAGGAATTTAGAAGGGATTTTTTACGCTGATCTGGAAAGGACCTGACTAGAGGCAGGAGAAGCACATGGTCTTCCAGGAGCCAGAAGACATGCCGAGCAGCCTCCGTGCCCGAGGTGAGCACAGAGGCAAGGGTGACCGTGCAAGGGGATATGCCAGAGCACGCAGAGCCTTGTAGATCGCATTAGTGGTTTTTAATTTTAGCCTTTAAGGCAAGGGAAGCCACAGTGGTAGGCTTAAGCAAAGAGGTGAGAAGATAGGACCTATGTTCTAAAAGACTGTGTGGGTCACATAGAGAATAAAATAGCAAGAGGCAAGAGCAGATGCAATGCTAACACGTGCCACAGCCTGTTCATGGCAGCACCAGCCACAGCAGGGAGGAGGCGCACAGAGGTGACGCCATCGGTTGGTAAGTGGATACTGCGGCATATCCCTAGAATGGAATATTACTCAGAAACAAAAAAGGAACACAGTAATACCAGCAACAGGAGCAGGACAGGGCTCCAGTCAAAACTGGAGCAAGCATGGAGTCCAGAGGGGCTGGCAGAAGTGTGGCGAGGGAGCATGCCTTGCCTACCAGAAGGGCCTCTACCCAGCACCAGACAACAGCCACTGCAAAATCGAGATCCATCCCAGGTCTTCTGAGACAGAATAAAGACATCTATATGACATTTAAAAGTAATGGCAACCTAAAACAAATGCTGAGGCAAAGTAAAGGAAGGAAAGATTGTATTTAGGCCAGGTTAGGATGCGCGTATCCAAGTAACTCCACATTTGCACTCTGAGGTCTTGGAGATGTGAAAGGCAAAGGCAAGAGCTGGGGTGGGGAGCAAGGAGCCTGGAACAGCAGGAAGTGGCTGGGCCCTATGGAGGGAGGACAGGACAACCTCGTGGTCACCTGGAGTCGTTTTGCATAAAGTCACTTAGAATTGCTTAAAGTCATGGAGATGGTGAGTCAGAAACATTGTTATAATTAAAACACCTTGAAGGTTATAACTAGTAGATGTGACTGGCGGAGGTAAGGAGAAACGTCCTGCGGCAGCGAGGGTGTTCATAAACCGGAAGTCCGTGAGTCTAGGCAACACCTTGCGCCACTTCGGGTGCACACGCCCAAGAAAGCCACAGAATTTACATTACTGTACTTCCTGGTAGACGGGAGTCTCTCGTTTCCAAACAAAAACAAAACCCTGGTCTAAGTGGGGGTCTGGCATTTTACCATAAGTGACTCCATTTCAGGTTTGCTGGGACCTAGGACAGGGGCTGAGGCCAAAGCATAGTCTCCTGTGATTTCTATTTAACACAAGCAACTTAGCACAAGCTGTAACACATACCTGGGCAGTGGAAAACACAGCTTACTGGGACTGCCATTTTGTAGCCTCTAGCTCAACACATTTCAACTGGACTGGTCTGAGAAGTTTTTCATGTTGGGTAAATTCTTTTTACAAGCCAAATAATATATAGTGATTGAATGTTTAAAAAATAATGAGAATAATAATAATAATAACCTGAAAAAATGCATTAAACCAGGTCCACTGTGTTGAAGAAGTTTAGAAATTAATTTGACAGATGAGAGCTGTATCTAAAATGATCTAAAATAATTTATCTGAAGATTTATTTAAATGATCTAAAATAAGACACATGCCCAATAAAGTCCTAAGTGCAGCTGGGTGGACTCGGTCACTATCCTGCGAACGCCTAGGGAGGGGAGAATGGTGAGTGCACACAGTCAGGGACAGTCCCAGTCACCGGGGAGAGGGAGAAGGCAAAGGAGCGAGCACACACATGCACGTGCACATGCACACACAGAGACCCGGGACTCACACACGGAGGGAGCCAAGGCAGAAACTTACACACGCGGTACACGGGTCATTGCCAGTGGGCACATGGAACTGACCCCGAGGACAAGGCACGCAGTGAGTGGCCAAACCCAGTCAGCATGGCCTATGTGGGATGGCCCAAGGCAGATCCCTCTGGTCTGTTTGCTTCTTCACCCGATTGGTGAGGGAGGTGCTCCTGTCCTGCGGTCATGGGACTGGTCAGACACAGGAAACTGGACAGATGGGACTGGAAGAAGTTTGTTAGTCTTGTAGACCCACAGCCTGGGGAAGAGGACACTGTGGGGACACACAGGCTGCCGGAAGCTTTGGAGTAACAAAAGTGGGGTTCCCCTGGATCTCAGGAGAGGAGTGATTGGGCTCGTCTGAGTAATGTGGTGAAACCTGCTGGGCTGAGGACACAGTGGGTCACAGCTGGTCTGGCAGGTGGGGGACCTGCTAGACAGGGAGGCTTTTCCAGTGAGTGGAGGCATGTCTGGCAGAAACAGGGGAATTCACAGCCAGGCCTTTGGGGTCCTGTCAGGCCTACAGATTTCAGGGTAGCCTTTAACACTGGATGCCTGACAGTATGGCTTCTGAATCCATCTTCTCGAGCACAAATGGGACAATGCCCCTCCCTGTTCAGACTCTTCTGACCCTTAGGTCAGATGAGTGCGAGACCTTAGGTAGGCACCGTGGGACACTCCAGCTCCTTCTCCACAGGCTCCAGCATCTGCCCTCCATTCTCTCTGAGTCTCCCCATCCAGGCCAGGCCTGGCCCACCCATAGGGCCCACAACAGGGAGCTGAGGAGCCTGTTTCCCCACTCCCTGGCTCCCGACCAACCCAAGTTTGGACGTTTGGGTCAGTGCTGTTGTCAGCGTTGCTACAGTAGCCCTAAGGTGACTTCCGTGTTCGCAGAATCTGCTCACATCTATTATCGCATTTCTTCCACTCAGCAATCCTTACAGCAGATATTATTAACTCCATCTCACAGATGAGAAAATTGGGTTCAGAGAGGTTAATTAACTTGCTTAAGATCCAACTGTGAACAAATACCAAGCCCAAACTTGGAATGCAAGTCTCTGGCCAGAAAGTCCAGTACTGTTTCCCCAGTTCCAGCACTTTCACTCCAGGAAAACAGGTCTCCTCTCTGCCTCGCCGCCACCTCAGTGGTATGAAAAGTTGGTCTCCCTTCAGTCAGAGGGACGAAGTGTTCCAAAATATTTACAAAAAGCAGTCCTTTAGACTGATAGCAAATCATCCAATGTTTGACCATACTGTCCGTTGGCTTCTTAATTGGAAAATGTCACAGGATAGTTCCCAATTATTTCTTTGTGAGGTCTCCAAGGTACAAGTCAGCCTCATTGAGCGCAGGGACCATGTCATAAGACTGTGTGTGTGTGTGTGTGTGTGTGTGTATGTGTGTGCGTGTGTGTGTGTGTGTGTGTGAGTACGTATGTGTCCTTGTCTCTCTAATCTCAAAAAATCTGTGTCTTTTTGATAAATGCTTATTGCAGTGAAAATAGAATTAAAATAAGCTATCTTCTATTTTGCAAATAATGCCTTTGTAGGCTTTGGGAGAGCCACATAGCCTAACTCCAAAATGAATGCATATCTAAGCTGGTCACCACCCTCAAGGGAGGTTCTGGTTTACTTAAGGAAAGGGCCCACCTCTGACCCAGACGATGCTGCAGTTCATCCCAGGTCACCAGGAGGGACACGGCAACACACTGAACTGACGTCACTCTGGACTCAATACTTACACAGCAGCTCCCGTGCCTGTCTTCCTGGGAGGTGAAGGGGGAGTTAGCCCCAGCAGGAGCCGCTACTACTGACCCGAGCTTCTTGTCTCTGGGCACCTGGCCCACTGGGGACGAGCTAAAAGACCAGCTCACGAGAGCCAAGAAGAAACTGGCCACCAACGCTGGACTCACCCTACTCAGCCCTCGCCATCATGGCAGAGTCGTCACGAGGGGGCCATAGTTGGAAAGTGTGGAAGACAAAGGAGTGTGAAAAGGAAGCAAGCAACATAAAAAAAAAAAAAAAAAAAAAAAAAAAA